AGGCACAAAAGAACGAACCACCACCACCAATACCATCACCACTACCACCACCTCCAATATGTACACGTTTCGCATCGAGCGTGCGAAGTGTGCTTTATCCGTGGACAATTAGTCTTCCCAGGCTTTCGTGGCTCATTGTTTCCCAGCTGCGGGAAAGTGGCGGCGCGAAAGTAAGAATCCGCAGCGGAAACGAGGGAAGCCCGCTGATTTCTCATCAAATCCGGGGCCGAGATTGGCCTGGAAATCGGTCGAAGCGATTCTGAAAGGAGCAGTGTACCCACGCGAGAGGCCTAGAAACTTGGCGAGGGAGAGAGTGGAAGAAGAGTCCTCGTTTCGAAAAGTATTTTACTTTTCCGCCGATATTTATGCATTTTTCTCGTATACCTCGTTATTATACAACGAGAAATGGATTTTTGTCGAGTCCTCGAGATTCATAAGGGAATGAGATTCATAAATTGACTCATAATGGTGAATCATCCAAAGACGAATACGAAGCGACGAATTCTGGAATAGCATTCGAGCAACGAACAGGAAAAACAGATTTCGTAATCGCGTTGCGAGTTAGTTTTGCATATCCTGTTTACGCAGTTGTGCCATGCGCCGTAGACGATACCGCTGTGGCGAACAATGAGCGAACTTATCGCGAATCTGAAAAAACGACACCGAGTATCAAGCCAAGTTTTGGATTTGGTGATGGTCTCGTCCACTCTCGGTATTTAACGAGCGAGGATAACTTCTTGAAACGATGTTTGATTCGAAGAGTCGTGAATAGATTGGGTCTTTTTCTGTCCCGGAAAAAGAGGGTCAATCGCGAGCGTCTCGAGCTCGCGTGGCGAGGTCGAGAATTCCTCGCGAGGGTCAATCACTGTCACTTGCATTAACGGAGGCAAGCGTTTCGTGCTATCGTCGGACGTTGCAATTACGGACTGTGAGTCCAGCGATTTTTTCCAGTGGCCAAGCTTCCAAGTGAATTTTTTAAGAAGCCGAATTCCAAGGATTTCTTTTTTTCAAATCTTTGAGAATAAAGTAGATACGAATATTTTTAGTAGATTTACATTGAACAGATGTCGATCACAGCTTGAACAGTTACCCACGGTTTAACAGGAATATTTTAAGTTCAACATTTCATGGTATCTATAAAAAATTCTTCTAGAACCTAGAATGGATGAGCGTCTATTGATAAACAAAATAATCTATAAATGTCTAACCAGTGCAAATACTGGTTATAACGGAAAATCTCATCGATGAAAAACACGATGTTCGATGTTCGCCGCAAAATGTATCGTATCAAAAGAAAGACGGTAAGAAGAAATTCAATCTCTGAGGGAATATATATAATACGAGCATACGTGAATAAACGAAAGTGGTAAAATGTGCTGTGGCAAGTAATCTCGCCGTCAATCATATTTTTTTCTTTTTGCGCGCGCGCGGCAACACATTTTCCAGATTGATGCACGTATCCCTGCGTCTTGTGCTCGCGTTCCTCGATCCGCATGGAGCGCACAGAGACGATTAATTAACGTCTCGTCACGGACGATTATTAGGATTATAAAACGAGAGCGAGCCTCTAACGATGCAATCGAATACCGTTTCGACAAATGGCAACCGCAGAAAGTGTTCGCCATGCTATGCGATGAACCATTCCTCGTGGCACGCCAAGCATCCTTATCGCGGATCGACGACCGAACGTTTCATTAAAGAGTAAGTGTCCGAGGAGTAAGTGAAATTACGCGGCGAGACTCGAAAACGCACGAGAAAACGAGACTTGAATTTCAAACCGATCCCGCCCCTTCTTCCCACTGATTTCAATTGATTAACGCGCACGTGAGCCGATTATGCACGATTCCTATCGTCATAAGAAATTCTTTCGATCACTCGATTGTGAGAAGATGTACTCGCGTCTCTTATATAATTAGATACCTAATTAATATTAATTATAAGGAATCGAAAGAATTTTGGAAAAGTCGCGTTGTGAGATCGAACCCTCCTCAAAATTAGATAATGAGAATTTAGAGACTTCAAGATAATTCATCGTAATTTTGTCTAATTTAAAATTTTCTTTTCCACGGAAAGGAGATATCCATAATGCACTGAATTATAATAATTCACTGCTAATTCAAATTTCGTCTAATTTAAAATTTTCTTTTCTTTCCTACGGAAACTATTCATAAGTACGCTGAGTGCGATTATTCGCGAAAGAGGGACGAAAGGAGATATCCACGGCGCGATTATTCGCGTAGGACCACACAGACCGTGACGTTCTCGAATTCAGCCTCTGGAGAACGACAATGTCCGGTGATGCACGTCCAAGTGGCTGACAATTGACACCCGTTTCCGGCGCTTCTACAAAAGAACCTCTCTCTCTCTCTCTTTCTCTCTTTCTTGAAGAATATAGGGCACGTGCCCTCATCGCGTGCCCGCTTTCACGTGCACGCACCGCCCTCTCCCGTCGCCCATCCTCTTCCTCTCAATATGTTCTTTGGAACATAATACGGTCATGCTGGAAAACTTCCTTCCTACCGATACCTTTTCTCTCCAGCCATATGGCGGCCGAGGATTCGAAGACTCCGTTGGCACGAGATGAAAGCAAAACTGCAACGGGATGCATGCTCGGGCGTGCATGCTCGTTGATAATGATTCCTCGGCTTGATGGACACCGCGAGTCGATCCATTCTGGATCGTTGAATCGTGAGTTAATGCATCCTTGATGGGATCGACTTTTTTCGTCTTATATTTAGATAGGCCGTTGGCCGGGAATAACCGTAGAAATTATCGACGTTACTCGAGAAATCAAAGGATAGAATTTTTTAATTCTAGCTCCGACGCTTCTGACATCGCATCGTAATTGAATCCTGTTTCTCTTCGGCGTTGTTGCGCCAATTTTTTGCTTCGGTAACTGTATAATGGAGATAATGAATCCGATAAACGCTTCGCGCAACGAACCGCAGAAAACGCTACAGTCTATGCCGAGGTCTATCGGTTCTTCGCGCCTATTGTTCAACCTGATTGTTTCGACTCCACTTGTAAAACTCCACCAAGATTCCTCCCGGACGAGGAGGATCTTCCGCGTCATCCATCGAAATCGATATTTTGATATATAGTAATCATCGGGCAGGAAATCAGCGCAGCTGTTGTTTACACGGCACTCTCCCGGACTTCGCGTCCACTTCGAGAGGTCGAGAGAGCCAGTGGACGCGGCTGTTCGACCTCCTCCTCCTCCTCCTCCACTTTTCAAGTAGAGCGGTCTGCTCCCAACGAATACGAGTACGCAAGCTCTTCCGTCGATGCCATCTCGAGACGCGTGCTTCTACTCTGTGAAACGTCTGGCGAACTTCTAGCTCTTCGAGAAATAAGCCCACTTGATGCGTCCAATTAAAACGTCGGTCGCGCGCCACGCGAGCGAGGGCAGACGTGAAACTAATTGTCGCCGCGGAGAAGGAATTCTCGAGGAGAGAAGAAACCGCGATTAAGAAGGGAATCTCGCATCAGATTTTCACGCGCGTCGACGCAGGTGAAAACGGGGGCCTAAAACGGATCTAAGACCTCGTCGCTTTCCACACTCTCTTTTTTTTCTTTTCCATCAACGCTCAGTTCCGTTCTCAGCGCGGGATCCGAATTAAGGAACGACAATCGTCGAAGCGAGCTTTGTGGGTCGCGAGGACTTAATGGCCGGATAAATTAAATCGTGAATCCAGCTCGGAAGTCGGACTTAAATTCGTTCGACTCTCTTTTAGAAACGGAGAATGTGCATCAACATCTCGAAATGATTTACGTTCTAATCATACGATGTGTAATTGTCATAATTGAAAATGGTATCCTGTCGATGTTTACCAGAAACGAATGCCCCAGTATTAAATCTTTTACGGGGATTAATTGCACACACGTAAGTGTGTCCAACTTTCTTGTTTAACTTTTACTTCCACGTTAATCACAGATTTCACGAGATGTGAAAAGGAGATTCATTGATCGAAATTACCTCTTTATTCGCAAGAATTTGTATCTGTTTTTTTTTTTCTTACAGGCGAGATAGAAACTCTTAAATGTTTTTGTCTTTGTTCGATTCATGTCTTACGTTTTAATAGGTGAGATTATTATCTTGTTTATCTATCCTCTAGATCTATGGGGGGATTGATTCTCGAGAAAGTAGGGTTTTAATTGAGGGTATTATTTCGTTAAAGGGGATTCGTGACGTTGAATCGATTGTTTCCGAGAATTTTAATCTCGAATTGCATCCGTGATTGATGGAGGGCGATTCTTTTCTTCTTCTTCTTCTTCTTCCTCCTCCTCCTCCTCCTCATCTTGTTTATATTTACTAGTGCTCTCTGATCTACGATATTAAGAGAACAGGAGGTCGGTGACAGACGGTCGCAGGTCCGTATAATTGGTCCTTCCTCTGCTGCTGATTGTTTTAAACGAGAACAACTCGACCAACTTTAAGTCCCCCGTTACCACCAACACGCGCGCGATTATTAGCGGGTACAACCAGCACGCACGGAACGCTTACATCCGGTTCGTGGACCGTGGAAGGGTGACAATACGATTCTAGCATTAACTCGAGGTAAGTACGATTCTAATCTTGTTTCAACAGAATTTTTCATTCGCGATACTTTTATTTCGTCAAGTTGTTTCGTCGTTCATTCTCTCCCCGATACATCTTCATCGCTAAAATTTTTTAAATTAAACGCGATTCGAAATTGTTTGAATAGAATAGAAATAATTAAACTTCGGGATATTGTTTCATCTCGGAAATATAAGATTCCAAAAAATATGTGAAAAATATTCGATCTTGATTCGATGATTGTCCAAATCGAAATCGTGGATTATTTAAAAACCACACATACATCGAAATTACACCATAAATTGAAAAATTTGACGTGTAATTTTGTTCAAATTCAAATCAACGTGTCTTTCAAAGAACCAGAGTAGAAAGAAATGGAAAGTAGTCACGAAACAACGAAAACGAAAAATGTTCCCTTATTTTTATCTATGTACATAATCACGCTGTTTCCTCCATCCCTCTGGATCCCTTCAAACCTGGCCCGTAAAATCGCCCTTCCGTTCGGTCGGTGCACACAATGCATACACCTGACTAGAATTATACCGCAACCATAAGGCGATAAGGTCGGCTTAGAGTTATTTGGAACGAAGGTGGTTTTCATGAATAATGCAAAACTTGGGCACTCACCGCGAAATGTATGCGAGTATCGAAGGTTACCGTTTTCCATAATTTCATTCTCCCTTCGTTAACGATGCACGAGATTATTGCCAATAAGTCGAAAATAAACGAACAATGACGCTCATTTAACCCGTCCTCTTGACTTCACTTGACCAAGTGTCAATAAGTCGTCACACTATGTCACTAATGTACCGAAAAACAGCTGTACGTTTCGACCATATTCCAGCTTTTTCTAAATTGATCATTCCAAAATATCTTTCTTCCCTCGATTAATCGACGTAGAGATTTTCAACCCTCGAACCCTCGTTCAATCTACAAGAATATCTAAGATTCGTGACGATCGATTTCGAAGAAGTGCAATTTCTTCAACTTTTGCTAATTCACAAAAAATATTTAAGCTGGCGAATCGCGAAGCGATTATTGAATTTGAAGAAATAGTATTTCCCAGTATTTCTCTTAAATATAGAACAATTTTATTTATCCAGCAAGTTGAGATAGGAAAAGGAACCGAGAATATTGCCACGATCGGTCACGTCTCTTTGGACTCTGTGTTATAACCCCCTCGTGGGTGGAGGTGCGTTCGCAGGTGCGTTCCGCGCTCTTTCAACTATTACCCACTAAACATAGGCTGTCGAACAACCGTTCGATGACGTACGGTTTCATCGATCTATTTCCAGAAGCTGGTCGTAAAACTAATATTGGTGTCGTAACAACGCCGCGCGTTACTTCAACGCGGGGTTCATTGCACCGGAAGTTTCGTGTCCGTGCTTTAACTCTTTCGTCACAAGTAGTAGTGGTCGTGGGGAAGGTTGAAATCGTGGTAACACGGCGATAAGAAGCTCCCACCGTGTATTTTGTGAGAAATTGTGATCCGCCCTAATCATTTTGTCATTTTGATGTATTCTTTTCCATTTATATCTTCGAACATGCGTCGTCCAACGTCCTACGTGTTCAAATATAATTTAATCTTAAGCTTTCAATTAATTTTATCATCTTGCGTGTGTATAAACGATTCCCAAGAACAATGGAAAACTTTGAACTTCATCTATCGCTAACGCATAAAATCGTGGTAACGGTATTTATAACCGGTCGAGTGTAATAAGAGACGGTGGAAACGAGTGGTGGAAAAAAAAGACACTTTCGACGATTGTCCACGAGAGGCTTGGAGCGTGTTCGCGTGGAGGGAGCGTGTTTCGAGACACCACCCGTTACATGGCACGCAAGAGAGATACGCCGCGTTACTGGCGCCGTGCCTATCATTACGTTGTTTAACTCATAATACATCGTAACACGTACGCTACTGCAGCGTGTATCGCAACCGTTTACGCGTTTCAACGAGCGCGCGCGAGCGCGCCTTAACGATCCTCTGCGCTGGCCGCCGGCCGGCCATCGCGCGAGCTCCCTTAATCCACTCGTTGCGTGTGGAAACAATGCGGCTACCACGTGAACACTTGCCACTTCGTCGTTCCTTGTTTATAAAAGGAATATTTTAAATTTATCCAGTGATTAATCCTATTGATTAAAATTAAATTTTAAAAATTATCCACGTTCTTCGCGTATTCATTCTTTCAACTCGTGTTTCTCGATCGTTAACGGAATATCGGAAAAGTAAAAGTGAAGTAGGAAATTCGAAATTTTTTTGCAAACGGAAGTCGAAGTTAAAGGAGTTTCGTGTCCTTGAGGATTTTTGAGAACATACAAAGGAAAGTAATTTCTCGTCCGTCCTGTTCAGGACCACAAATAATATCATTTTGCGTGCATATTTCCGACTGTGAATCCTTACCATCCGGTTTTCCATCCGGTTAGCGGTTCGAACAGTCTGTATTCTCCGAATCGATAGCATCCTATGCATCTCGTCAATGTGGTTTCCGCCTCTTATCCCTTTGTTATAATGACTCACACGTTTCGTAATAGACTAATTAGCGCGCGATCAAGGTGATTCATACCGAATATTTGCATCAAACCTACTCATGCAGCAAGATCAGGATTTTCCTCGTGCACCGATAAGACAAGATTTTCCTTGTATTTTCTTGTATATTGTAAAAAAAAAAAAAAAAGAAAAAAAAAAAAGAAACTAGAATAATATCATTTGGTACGAAGAATGTAGTGAAACTTCCATTAAGATAAACTTTTGAACCGAGTACTTAAGATATTATTACGTCCACTAAAAAATGTGTGTAGACTTTTAAAAACGGTGATAAATCGAGGCCTAGATTTAAAACCTTGGATTTAGGTTAATGGCAAGGGAGTTTAACCAACACGGAGATCGATCTGGAAACGCTATCCGCCCATATATAATTTTCCTAAGATAAAAATTCAAAAATTCCAAACTTCGAAATATCGCCATTTTCTCTGGGATAAAAAGGTGGAAAAATTTGAGGAAAACTCGGTCGAGAGTTTGTCTTCTCGCGAGATTTCAGTGATTCAGACTCGCCATAAGGCAAACACGATTATCAGAGGAGCGTTGACGACGTCGGCCCGGTTGATATCACGCGAAGATATAAAGCGAGGGACCACTGCGAACAGAGCACAAAGGCGGTAAAAGGGGAGGAGGGAGGGATATAAGAGAGAGCGACGACAACGGGGAGTGGACGAGGGGGGAGGAGAATTGACGAAAGAAAGAGTGAATGGGAGCACTGTGCGCCAGATGGTCGGCTCGATCTCCGTACCCCGTTTCCATTACTATTTCCCAATGATGAAGGAAGATCTGTGCCGGTGGTTACACTATGCAAAAATCTCGTCCATAGATATAATCGAGACGCTCCCCGTTATTGTGCTCGGCTTCTATGACCCCTGATAATTAATGAGAATTTATTGAGCCGTAGTCAGGGAAACGTATAAACCGGCGGCAATTAATAGGGACGTCTGTTCCAAGAGGGAACGTGAATGACGAAGATAGAAAAATCTTTTGCAAATAGAAGAAGATGATAAATCTCCACTATCTCGAGTCATAACATAATATGGAGGGGTGAAAGCCGTGTTATTATATATACAGTTACAATAGAATCTTGGTGAAATTACGCGCGCATAACACCATCGAATTACCCATTGATTCGAGAAATCGTAATACTTTTGCGGTTCTTCTCTCGTATACACCAAGCTTTTCATTGCGATTTTAAATATATGCGAGAGGTTAACGTGTGTGCAGCGACGAAAAGAAGATTTATATGTATATATATATATATAT